CCGCCTGGTGCACAGCCGAGGAGCCTGCCCCTCCCCTCGCTGCTCCTGCTGCCGCGAGGATGGGGTTCTCGGCCCCCCAGAGGGCGTTCTGTTTTGTATAAATGAAAACAAACCCGGGAGGAGCTGCCCTCCCCTAAGCGCTGCACAAGCTTTGCCTCGGTTCATCTTCGGTCCCAGGGGCGCCTCAGTCTCCTGGTTCCGACCCGGGGGTGTTGGCCTCGCCCCCTTTTACTTGTATTAGAAAAAACTCATGGGTTGAAAAATACTTTTTATAATAAAGTGTTGAAAACAATGCTGGCTGCTCGTGTCCCTCCTGCCCCCGGGGTGGTGCCATCCTTGCCGGCAGGGGCGCCCACGCCCAGGCCGAGGGGACCCCAACCTGCCATCAGGCAAGAGCCCCGAGGGAGCCTGGCCAGCGAGGCTCAGGGGTTGAGCAGGAGGTCACGGTGCGATCCCATCGATCCCATCGGGGCCCAGGCCCAGGTTGTGGACTTGATCCCCAGTGGGGGGCGCGCAGGAGGCAGCTGGTCAGTGACTCTCTCTCCTCATTGATGCTTCTCCCCCCTCCCTTCCTCTCTGAAAGCAATAAATGCACATGTAGTTTAAGAAGACCTCCAAGGGAGGGCATGAGGGTCCAGCTCGAGTCCACCCGCAGCTCCCGCTGCCACGAAAAGGCGCAGCAGCATTCGGCCGGGCAGTGGGGTGGAGGGAGCCCTAGGGATGCGGGTCCAGAGAGGTGGGGGCCGTGAGGGCTGGAGCTCCGCTAACCGCCCGCCCCCGCTGGCCTGCTTCCTGCCGCCAACCCCCGGGCTGTTCGGAGAAGCAGCCGTCACACCTGTTGTGTCAGCTCCCTCCGGGCAGGTAAGAGGCGGGAGCTTTGTCCTTAGCCGAGGGCACCACCAGGCCCAGCCCTCGGAGGGGCCTGCAGCAGGGACGTTCCTGCGGTTCCTCGGTTGCCCCCCTCCTCCTCCTGCACCATCTGCTTCCCATCTCTCGGGCTGGAATGCAGGACCAATCGGTCGGCGTGGGAGCGGCAGGGGCTCCGGTGGCTGCCCCTCCCCCCCCCACCCCCGCACCTCCTCTCACTGAAATGCACACCTCCGTGCCAAGGGGGTGGGTGGGAAGCCACGGGGCTGCCTAGCAGAGAGCCCTCCTGCCATGGGGCCAGGCGCTGCTCTGCACCAGGGCTGGGCGGAGGCGACTG